GAACAGTTGACTTGTGGCCTTGGATAGGAAAGAAACTACAGAATAAGAAAGCTTGGATCTTTTAAATATCTGAAAAAACATATACCGTAGTCTCACTTCTGAGAACTCAAGCCTCCAGGCACAACAGATCTAAGAGAAGATATAGATGCAGGGTGGGGAACCTTTTCCAGTTTGATGACCAAATTCAGGGAACTTCTTCAAGGTTACATTCCAGTGGTAGGTGGAGCCAAAAATAATTTTTAAGCCTTGTCTGAACTAAACCACCTTTGTCAAGAGTGGAACTGTTTTCCAAATACATGGGGAAGTGCAGATACTTTTCCAAAGAGCAGGGAATAATAATGGAGTAGAAAGCTGTTACCAGGCAGCAAAGGAGTCATTTAAGAACTGACTCCAAATGCTCACCTCTTGCAGTCTCTGTAAGAAGCCATTACAGAAATCCTTTATAATCTCCACTGAGACGTCATCCAGGGGCAGCACATCCTGCTCCTCATCTGGAGTATGGTATGCAGCCACTGCAGGCAGCTGGGACTTCTTCAAGTGGAAATAAGACATAACCCGTTCATTGCCCTTTGCAAGGATATCCACCAAGATAAAAAGTATCTGCAAGAAGAGAGTAGCAAAGATCCAAAAATATTTCAGAAGGATCACATAGGCAAGTATCAAAGGAGGTCCAATCCAATGAAAAAATTATAACCCTTGATGAAAGGAAAGCATGGACTATAGCACTAAGCAAGCTGTCAAATAATCTCTGGACTGGTGGCTGTCTAGGGCTCTTTTGTGTGGATGTCTAGTGTCTAGATCAAGGGAAATGATAGTACGATAGTAATAGTAGGACACAGAGCAATGGATTCAAACTACAGGAAAAGAGGTTCCACCTGAACATTAGGAAGAACTTCCTGATAATAAGAGCTGTTCGACAGTGGAACATATTCCCTCAGATTGTAGTGCAGCCTCCTTCTTTGGAAGTCTTTAAACAGAGGCTGGATGGCCATCTGTTGGGGGTGCTTTGATTCTGTGTTCCTGCATGGCGGGGCATTGGATTGGATAACCCTTGAGGTGTCTTCCAATTCTATGATTCTATGATTCTATGTATAAACTAGCAGCAGTAATCATAGCCTTTTAAACACAAGCTGAAACTGCTAAAAGAATGCATAGAAGAGGAACTGGATCACACTCATAATCCCAAGACTCCAGCTTTCAAGTTTCCATCAGTTTTATACAAAGCCTAAGCGGTACACACGCAAGGTGCATGCACCTAGGCTATGCAGATGGTCTTTACCACTGTGGAAATGTTTTGACTTACCTTGCCTTGAAAGAGCATGGCAGCTTCACGGTACTTGTCCATCCTCTCTGCATGCATTGGAGATGACTTGTTAGTGAACAAGAGAAGGTGGGTCTCAATGGCACTCTCAAAGAGGCCAATTGCAGTCTGCAGAGGTATTATCAGAAAAGAAGAGATGAAGAGACATATTGGCTATGAAATGGAAAATTCTGGGCACTGTTGGATCAGCAAGTCCTAGAGAAAATATTCAGACTATGAATCAAGCCCTTAGAATTATGAATTTGTTCCCTCAAGTTAGAGCTTAGAAAAGTTACATCTTAAAACAAATGTGCAGTGGCCAGGCTGGCTGAAGGTTCTGGGAGCTGAGGTCTGAAACAGTAATTTTTCCAAGCTCATGTTTGTAATGAAATATGAGGAGAAAATGAAGAGAAAAAATGTAGAGAATCAAGGGGGCAGAGGTGATGTAAATGTTTGGATGCAGTAGAGCTGACCCCACAGCTAGTGCTATTGATGAATTTTGATATGTTTTGTTCTGTTTAGCTTACGCTTTGATCTCCAATTACTTCTTTTTATTTTATGCATTGCTACACACATGCTATGCATTCTTTGTAGTGTTGCTACTGAAGAGAACACCAATTTGAAATTTCTCAGATATGGAGGATTTTTTTATTGTTGTTGTTCAAAGAAATAGCCATCAGACATAATCCTACAAAACAAGAATCTTCTTCATAACTTCTAAACACATACAAAGAGAAAGAGACCAATTCATGGAGAAATGAACAGGGTACTTTTTACCCCCATTGCTCAGTTAAACCCAACACCATTATGCAATATGAGATTGACATAGGAAAATTGAAAGCATCCACTGTAGGCTTACACAATGTGTAAAGAGGGATAATTGCTTTGCTAACATTTAGGTCAGATTAAAAAAAAATAAACCCAGGATCCAAACTAGTAGTGGAATTCAAAAATTTTTAAAAAAATAAAGATTGATCTTTGAAACCTGTTTCCTCCAGTATCTTGCAAATTTGCAGACTACTTTGTTTTACCACCCTAAATGCACCTGATCTTTTCCAGTTTTGGAAGCTAAGCAAGGCTGGACCTGATTAATACTTGGATGGAAGACTATCAGCGAATACTAGGGCTCTCTGGAAAGGGTTAGTAAAGAATTCAGGTTGCCTGAAAGCCTGAAGAAACACTGCCAATCAGAGCTGAAAGCAGTGGTAGCTGGTGGCTCCAAGATCATACTTTAAAGGAGCTATTGAAGGAGCTGAACCTATTTGGGGGATAAGTGTTCAACACCTTGAAGATCTTTAAATTAAAACCTTTAATAGACTCATCACTTCACTGACATGGAAGCCATCAGCCACCACTAGCTGACAGTGCTCCAGCTCAGTATAAGGCAGCTTATAACATTACTCAAATCTAATTTTTTGCAAACCATCTTTGACATTGAAGATCCTATGATGTTAATTTTATGCCAGTGTTTGTCTTAAATATTGCTGTCATGTTATTTCAAGATTTGCTGACAAGCTATATTTATTATTATTATTATTATTATTATTATTATTAATAATAATAATAATTTACGGTATTTATACCCCGCTTTTAGCCATAGCCATCAAGTTGGCTTACATCTAAAAGCAATACATAAAACAATTCCTACAATAGGTTACAAAACAATAAACTAACACTATTAACCCCCCTTAAAAATGAACTAAATACAAGTCTGAGTTAAAAACTAAAGTTAAAGATTTCAGTCTTCATTGCTCCTTAATAATGCAGATTCACTGTTTATATACCTTTTAATTATAAATAAAATTCTACATTTCATTGGTTCTTTTGAAAAAATATATTTAATTCTTTGTTTTAGCCATAAATTTAAGAATAATTGCTCTTTGGAATAAAGGCATGCCTTCCTACTGTCCTAATTTGGAAGGGACAGACCCTATTAATCCTCTGCCATCTCACTTTTTCAGCTTCTTTTAAAATGTCCCTCTTTCTCTTCTTCTCACTTTCCCTCTTTATCATCAGTTTATTTCTATTGCTGCAAACTGAGTCTAAAGTGCAAAAGTAGTTTGTTCTCAGTTCACTCAGAGAAGAAGAGGAGAGGCAGAATCTCACTCTTCTCTATAGACTCAAGGGAAAGCAAATTTCTGCAGCATCTCCTACTGTGTGATCTTCCTTATCAATAACTGTTACCATCTTGTATGTAGAGAGATCTTGTAGTACCTTTGAGACTAACTGAAAGAAA